GCCGGGGCTGCTGTAGCCGCTGCGATCCCCAGATTTCGGAGGTTCCCCTGGGAAGGAAGGAAGGGAGTGAGGCCAGGACGTGGGTGCGGGGGGCAGAGAAAGCCCTGGGGCTGCCTGACCTGCGGGTGCACCCACGTTCCCAGCCAGCTTAGGCGTGTGAAAGCTCGGCTGCAGCAGGGGGTACCCAGCCAGAGTCTCCTCGTCCCGCCTTGTTACTAGAGAGACACCCCAACTACCAGGGAAGTCAGGGTGGTCAAGACTGCCCAACACCCCCTTCCAGAGACCAGGCCAACTCCATCCCACAGTTCTGGGGTCAAGAGATTAGCTCCAACCAGCCTGTGGTTTCTGAAGACAATTCCGGGATCAGCAAATGGCATAATGGTTACGTCTCTGGACTCCCATGTAGTGGACGGGAGTTCGAGTCCTGGACCCCACAGCTTGAAACACGTTGGGTGTGTATGCGGGCATGCCCAAAATCCCAAGAGGAGAATGGAGGAAAAGGGATTGCAGTGTGGTCATCCCCCTTGAGGGGTCATCTCTCCCCTTCTGTCTCTGTCCCTCTGGAGAGCACACTCTCCCTGTACCAAAAATTTCTCTTAAAAAAAATAAAAATGAAAGAAGAAAGAAAGAAGAAAGAAAGAAAAGGTGTCCCCCACCTGAGCTCAGGGGCCTCTCCTAGAAAAGGGAAATGATGATATTAGTAGTGACAGGGCTCTGGGCAGCCATGTGTGTAGATGCGCTTTGAGAAACTGTGGTGGAGGTCTACATGGCCTTCACCCTCAACAGGGCCAATGCCACAACCACACCCAACCTCTACCCTCTGGCCTGGACCCCGGGGCCCTTTACGCACAGGGCAAGTTCAAAGCTCTTCAGTGAGTCCAGGGCTGCCTGTACCCCTGTCTGCTCAGGGGGCCCACCCCAGAGTGGACTGTCTGCTCCGTGTCTACCCACCCCTGGTTCTCCAGACAAGCCATGCCGCTGTGCCCTGCCTTGCTGTTCCTACCCCAAGAACACCCTTCCTGGCGCACCACAGTGCATGGCAGGTACCAATCACCTCTCCATGGCCACACAGGGCCAAGCCCAACATGGCTGCCAGGGCCTCTCCTCTCCCAACAGGCTCGGTCCCTCCTCTGCTGGGCATCCTTAGCCCCCCCAGCGCATCTCTTGCTACACCCCCCACACCTCCCACATGCTCTAGTCACTCGCTATCAGCTTCATGGCCCAGCGTCTCTCAGACTGTGGCCACGGACCCTGCCTGAGGGTCTCCAGCGCTTTCACAGAGGAAGTGAGATGCACAGTGTGGATTTCTGGGCCCATCCGGATCTGAGAAGGCAGACTCCACAGGGGTGGGGCCTGCAAATCTGGTTTGTCTCAGGCTCTCTGAGGACTCTTGAGCACCCTGAAGTCTGAGACCCAGCTCATGCTGTGTCCAAGCCACATATTGGCCTGAGAACTGGAGCTCAATCGTGGATCACCAAGCTTTGGCAGCCATGTCTGCCCCCTCCAGTCATCTGTAACAAACACCCACTGGACCTGGAGAAGGGCAGCTCTTTCTTCGAAGCTCAGGGAAGCAAATCAGTGACTTCTCTTGTCAAATGAAGAATAAGCCTGATAGTTGTTTGTTTTTAGTTCTGCTACAGAGCACATTCACTCACCACCAGAGAGAGAGAGAGAGAGAGGGAAAGTGAGAAATTACCCCCCAAGGGGGATGGCCACTCCACAATCCCTTCTCCTCCATTCTCCTCTCGGGATTTCGGGCACACAGGCCCACATACCTGGCATGATTTTCATGCCACTGCATCCAAGACTTGAACTGTGGTTAGCCATGTGAGAGTCCAACTCCTTAACCACCACGCCACCTGCTGGCCCAGCACCGCAGTTTTTAGGGTCTGAATTTCCATGTCTTGGGAGTCCCTGCAGTAGTCAAGCTCGTGGCAGTAGGATCCATGCCGTTTATTATGTGAGGAAACAACGGATGGGCTTTCTCTCCTCCGGGACACAGGGTGACAGGGTAGGCTTTCAGTGGCGGTGCAAGTCCTTTCCGTGCCCCTTAACTGCAGAGAGACCTGGACAAGTCATTTAACCTTCCTGACCTGCATCTTCATCTGAAAAAGGGGGAGAAGGAGCAGAGCCCACAGGACTGTGTTAGGAGGATGGGAGCCATAACAGGGAGCACCCAGCACCGCTGCCGGAGCTCACAGACTGAGGTTTCCTTTTTGTTGTTTTCATTTCATTTATTTATTCTAGAGATTTTTGCCATAGGGCATGAGTGCTGGCCAGAGAGGGAGAGACAGAGAGACAGAAAGTAAGAAATCACCCCCCAGGGGGGATGACCATGATGCAATCCCATCTCCTTTTGGGATTTTGGGCATACACACATGCACGTGCCTAGTGTGAGTTTCAAGCTAGTATGGGACTCGAACCATGGTCAACCATGTGGGAGTCCAGCACTTAACCACTATGTCATCTGCTGGTCCCCTTTTTGTTGTTTTTAACTCCAGGGGGCACGTGTACTTGCTGGGGTTGGGTGGAGGGAAAGAAAGCACTCCCCCAATGGGGCACGGTCACACCATAATCCCTCCTCTATTTCTCCATCCTGTCGAGACTGGGCACGCATGGACCTGTGCCTGGCATGTTTTTTCAAGGAACTGGGGCTGAGACTCAAACCCATGTGAGCTCCACACCCCCTGGACAGGACTACGGATTGAGATTTCACACCTAAGCCTTGGTCAGACACAGTCCAACCTCCAGCACCCTCAGCCTTTGGGCAGGCCCTTGTCCCTGAAGTAGACGAGAACACGCTGGATCGGCAAGCCCATCAGACAGATTCCTCCGCAAACTACACAGGAGACAGGAGTTCTGTGCCGCCTGCAGGCTCTGCGTGCGAAACCTGCATTTCAGAAGCAGATCCTCCCAGCCCCGGACACAAGCCCACAAACAGCCACACGCAAAGGCAGCCTGCCCACCAGGCAAGGCAGGCTCAGAATTACCTCGCTCAGGTTTCGCCCCAGCAGGGGGCGGTTTTCTCTGCACTTGCTTGGTAGCTTAAAGAGAAAAATCCACAGAAAGCCTCATTATCGTCCTCATCCTCAGAGGCGGAAGGAGCCTGACTGATTGCATGCAGCAGGCCCCATAGCCAGCCTGTCGAGCATAGGGGAGGGAGGCAGGGAGTGGGCTCAGGGAGGGCCACAGTGGGCAGAAGGAGGTCAAGGAGCCCCAAAGGGGAAGCTCTGCCCACCTGTCGGTGCCACCTAAGATCAGGTGAGATCCAGACAGCAATGCATGTCCTGTTTTCAACTGTTAAAAAAGTGTGAGCCGGCAGGCCAAAGGTTAAAAAGAAGCAGGATCAAAACTGCATGTAAAATCCAATCAGAGTTCTGTTAATCACTGCATCGCACGTACATGAGAAGAACGCCAGGTAGGAAAGTACCAGGTGAAAAACAAGACCAGCAAGGCTTGCTGAGCAGCTATCCGCACAGTGCCACCCCACCCCGCACACGGGTCATATGACCCACACACAGGTCACGCCACAGCAAAACCATGCAATGGGTACAGGGCAGGCCCTGAGTGGCTCTTTCAAGCCCAGGACGGGAAGAGATCCCACAAACCAGGCCCGGCTTCGACCAGCCCACACCAGGGTCCACAGGCCTCCTGGGCACCGTGAGGGAGCAAATGCAGACCAGGTGCCCCAAGAGAGGCAGAGCCTGCAGCTAGAGGCCTGGAACAGGTCAGAGGGCGTGGAGAGGGCAGAGCCCAGCCCACTGCTGGGTTTAGGAGTGTCTCCAATGTTCACGTGGTGAGATTTGGCTGTGGCAGGTGATGAGAGTGAAACGTAATCTGACTATGGTGTTGAAAGGTGGGGCCTCTGGGAGGAGAACAGGATTAAGGTCATCAGGTGAGGCCCCATGGTTGAGTCCCAGTGAATTTCTTTTTTCCTTTTTTTTAGAGAGATTTTTGCTATCGGGCACATGTGCTCACCAGAGAGACAGACAGAAAGCAAGAACTCACCCCTGGAGGGGATGGCCACGCTGCTATCCCTTCTCCATTCTCCTCTTAGGATTTTGGGCATGCACGCACTTGTGCCCAGTGTGTTTTAGGCCGCCAGGTCTGGGATGAGTCCCCGTAAGTTTTTAAGAAGAGGGAAGGAGACAGAGCCGTGTTCTGCTCTGACCAAGCTCCTGCCCTCTCCCATACCATCCACCAGCAAGAAGACACTCCCCAGGTGCGGCCCCTGGACCCTGGGCCTCCACAGGGTGAGCTGAATAAGTCTCTATTCTCATTTCTTTTTCTTTTTTTTGGTCATGGGGCATGTGCACTTGCCAGAGAGAGACAGAGAGGAGGAAAGTGAAAATTCAGCAGGGGGATGGCCACGCCACAGTCCTCCATTCTCCTCTTGGGATTTTGGGCACACACTCTCACCCAGTGTAATTTTTCAAGCTGCCATGCCCGGGACTTAAACCATTGACTCAGCCACGTGAGATCCAGCATCTTAACCACCATGCCACCTGCGGGCCCTAGCTTCTATCTCATAAATTACTTAAAAATACTTGAGTATTTCAGTTATTAGCAACAGAGCATACTAGAACACAGGCTGTCCCTAATCTCTAAGAGAGTGACTTAAAACATTTTTTTTTTGAGTTATTAGAGGGTACATGTGCTCACTAGAGAGGCATAGAGAGAAAAAGCAGACCCCCCCGCCTCCCGCACGTCCCAATAAGGCACGGTCATGTCACAATCCCTTTTCCTCCATTTTTCCACTCTTTCAGGATCTGGGAGCACATATGCACATTTGCCCAGCATGTTTCTGAAGCTTCCAGGGCTGGGATTCAAACCTCTGTCAGCTATATGGGTTCTAGTTCCCTTAACCACTATGCCATGTGACTGGCCCAAGGATGATTATTCTTTCTTTCTTTCTTTTTTATTTGTTTTTAGACGTTTTTGCCTTAGGGTACATGTGCTTGCTGGAGAGAGAGACAGAGACAGTGAGAGGGAAAGTGAGACCTCACATCCTGGGGGGATGGCCACAGCCCAATCCCTTCTCCCCCATTCTCCTCCTGGGATCTTGGGAATGCACGCACATGCACCTGGTGTGATTTTCTTTCTTTCTTTTTGGAGAGGTTTTTTTGCTATAGGGCGCGTGCACTTGCCAGACAGACAGAGAGAGACAGAGATAGAAAGCGAGAAACCACCCCCCAGGAGGGATGGCCACGCTGCAATCCCTTCTCCTCCATTCTCCTCTCGGGATCTTGGGCACGCACGCACATGCGCCCGGTGTGAGTTTTAAGCCACCGGGTCCAGGACGCGAACCATGGTCGACTACGTGGGAGTCCAGCGACATAGCCATTATGCTAACTGCAAAAAATAACCGTTACACCATCTGCTGGCCCAAGGATGACTATTCTCTTTTTTTTTTTAATAATTATTTGTTTTATTTTATTTTATTTATCATTCATTTATTTTAATTTGGCCAGAGAGAGACATGGAGAGAGAGAGAGAAAGTGAAAAAGCAAGCTAACAGGTTCAGGACTTGAACCACAGTCAGCCATCTGGGATTCTAGTGCCCTTAACCACCACGCCGCCTGCCAGCCCCAAGGATGACTATTCTTAACTGGATCCTGGACACAAAAGAGCTGGACAGAAGCCCTGCCAGGTGCTCAAACCTGAGTTTCACTCAACGGAGCCTAGGGAGACAGCACAGCTTCCAGTGCTCTGCTCAGACCCTCGGGCTTTGCAGAGTCCCTGAGTCCCAGCAGGTTAAGCTCTCCTGGGCTGAGCCTGTGATGTCACTCAGTGACCTGGCCAGGCTGCTGCCGTCTCCACAAAGTGCCATGGGGCTCATTCGGAGACTGAAAAATACCTTGCTGGGCCTTTCTCCGCGTAACCCTGGCCTTGGGACCGGAGAAGCGCCTGACCTGCTACTTAGAAGTCATGTGACTCAATTTCATGCCTGACCCCAGCTGGTGAGACTTAGTCAAGCAAACTCTTAGAGCCTCGATTTCTTTATTAATAAACATCACGGATTCACTATCTACCTTCGAAAACTGTCAAAAGGATTAGGAAGTCAATGGGCACGGCGGTGTTTGGTAAGCTGCCAGGGCTGACCAGCCCAGGGGTTAGTAATTGTCAGTGGCATCCTGAAACAAGGGCTGGGCCTTTTGAGCGCACCTGCCTGGGATTCCAGGGAAACCTTTCCTTACCAGTGCCAGGAGGTGTCTTCGGGGAGGGTGTGGTTTTTGCTGGAATTCTGGTGGCGTTGCCAGTGCCTTTTTGGCCTGGAGGGGCAGCTCCCCGGGGTGTGGCAATCTTCGTCCCAGTTTTGCCATCAGCCCCCTGTAAACCGAATCAGAATAGACTGACTTTACCGTCTGGGACAGTTACAGTCACCAAGACCAAGGCCAGCCTTGCTCTACCACCATGACTCATGTGAGGCTCAGGCCAGGTGACCGTCTGCCTACTAGAGGCAACAAATGTCTTGCACAATCTCAAGGGTTTGCTGGGCACACAAACCCACAGTCCTGCCCAAGCACCAAGCACCCCATTAGCACTTCTTCCCAGCGCAATTGTGTACAGTAGTTATCAGTGTGAGTTGAGCTTAAGTACTATAAAAAGACAACAGTGCTCACAGCAAGGATCGGGGTCACTAGCCACGCAGTGTCCACTGACAGGCAGGACATCGGCGGATGCCTATGGTCTGAGTCAAGTTTTGGAGTGATTTGACTGATGGAGGCCCTTGGAGACACTGATTGTTGGCCCTGGGCAAGAATGCTAAGCAGAGCTGGGTCTTTTGTAGTCTCCCAAACAACCCTTGGGTCTCAGCAGCCCCTCGGGTGTGCTAAGGGCCAGTAGCGGGGTGAACACCAGCATCAGTCAACAAACCAGGCTGGGAGCCACTGCTGGCACAGACACAGTCGACTGTGGGGCGCTACTGTGTGATTTTCCAGTGGGTAACTGTCAGACGTAGCACAAACTCAGAAAGAAATGACATGAACCAGGGACTGTAGGACGGTCAGGAAGGGCTGAAATCGTGGGATGAGGGTGGCTCTGTAGTGATGCCTCCCAACCCAAATGACAGCGCTCTGGAAGCGCTTCAGTTACCAAAGTCAGGAATGGACCAAGGACCCCTGCAGATGCCTCAGAGGCGGCTGCTATTAGGCTGAGAAGAATGACTCCACGCTGCCTTCTCCCCTCTTCCACCAGAACTTAATATGCCACCTGCCACACTTCTCTGAGGAAAGGTCTCAGAGACTAAAAACCAGACATTCCAAAACCACAGGAGAGCAGCCTGGTCCTTCCGAAGGTGGACCCTTACCTTGAGTTTCATCTCCTTTGCTCCAGAGCTGCCGGTTCGGGGTGTGACAGAAGAGACGTGTTTAGGAGAGGAAGATGGCTCTGGGCACACGGCAGGGCTGGAGGGTTTGATCAAAGGGTCTGAGCTACCGGAAATGGGGCGTTTGGGGCTAAGGCAAGGCCTATCGTTCAAGGTTTTGGCGGAGGAAGGTGTGGATGTCTTAAACATAAACATAAATAAAATCAAAATAAAAGTCAGCACAAGAGGGAGGAAAAGAAATTGAAAAAAAAAAAGGACAGTAGCTAAAAATTGATAAGGCAGGTCATGGCTTACAGCGGGCTCTACGAACTGTTTGGAGGATATGCGCTTATCAGGCCTTCTGGTCAGTAGGGATGCTCCCTAACCATATGGCAGTTTTTCTGTTTTAAGCACATTCTGCAACGCCAGGGTACGGCGGTCATCATCACACGTATGCATGACAGCGTTCAAAAGAGAAGATGGAAAATGAATAGTCGTTCTGGTATGTTCTTTCTCTGGCCATTGGATCTTCTGCGCCCCCCACTTTAGAGACTTCTGGTTTAGTGGTGCTTCATACCCAAGAAGCCCACGGCAATTGCCAAGGATGTCTTAGGATGTTTCTCAAAAACATCCCCAAGGTGTCATGGGTCAGAAGCACCCCACTTTCTGCTCAACCCCGGTGAGGAGCTCACACTTGTCCCTCTTCCCCCACGCTGGGAATCGGAATGGCTCACATAAAGATGATGCCTGCCCAAGTCTTCACGATTCTGCCTGACACCACTTCAGTTATGTGAAAGTCTCAAAGCTAATGTTAACACCAGCTGGTGAATCCCGACCTGACCAAAGTTAACTCTTATGCACATTCCGCACAAGGAAATAGCCCGACTGGGGCAGGTGGCCAACGGGACAGGTGTCCACACACCCTCAGAGAGGGAGCTGCACCCTGGCATGAGTGCACTTCGTGGACAGTGGCTGATACCCTGTCTGTCCTAACTGCTTCTGAGGGTTCTGACCAGGAGGTGTGGCCCTGGGGCAGGAAGGGGAGCCACAAGGGGCACTGCCTCCAGGAATGAAGGTGGAAGGGCTGTCTAGAGGGTTCCAGGCAGAGAGTACGGAGCAGGCAGAGACTTGCCTGGGTTCCTCAGGTGTTTCCTCATTGCCTTCAGATTCCCTACGGAAGTGGCTGAAGTCCGTTCTGTGGCCGAGGGCAAAGAGGGGAGCTTAAGGCCCGGGGCAGGGGTGAGAGGGAAGGGTGCAGCTGAGCTCCGAAGCTGGCAGCAAGGGTGAGAAGCTGGGGGAGGGTAGTGAGGATCCCTGCCTCCCTCCCTGCACAAGAATCTCTCTGCTCCTACCTGGCTAAGGTTTGTAATAGGTCCTAGCCTTCGCTGGACTGTGAGCATCTCTAGGGTGGGGGCAACACACCCATGGGTTCTGAGTAAGTGAGTGAGTACGTGAATACATGCATGAGGCCGGTATTCCCTGCCCCTGCCCCAACACTAAATGGATACCATGGCTGATGGGCAGTCGGCTCCTGCTGCCATTGCTGCCCGAGTGCCTGCAGGACCCTCAGCTGCCTCATAGGTAAGTCTTTGTGATGGCGAGAGCTGACTTCTGGAGTGGTCCCCAACCCACACACTGCCGAACTCCCCCTTGGGGATCCAGGATTGGTTAAAATCCAGATGTTTCAGGCAGAATCTACATTGCAACTTTTAGATTCCTTTACAAAAAAGAGATCTCTAGGGCCAGGGTGGGATTTTCTAGGAAAAGATACCACTGCGGAATTACAAAAGCATTTCCCAAGATATGAGGAGACCTCCAGAGGCTCATGGGATTAAAGTATGAGTTTACTTTGGTACAAAAAATGCTTTGAAAGCCAGGCACAGTTTTTCCATGAACTTTTTGAAGACCTCTTGGTATAAAGGCATGGAGGGGGTCACCTATACTGGGAGGAAAGGCTGAGAAGGGCAGGCAGTGTTCTGGACGCAGTCTGTGGGGCAGACAGGCTGTTCCTGGATGGGTTTCTGACGACTAGGGTATGTCCCAAAGAGGCCCCTTGGCAGGATCTCAAGATGGTGTCTGCCACACCGCCGTGCACTACACTCAGGAATTAAGGTGTGTACCAGGTCTCCCCCTCCTACACCCCTGCAGCCTACAGCACCCCGACACGCAGCCTGCGATCACCTAGCCAACTGCTTCCAGAATGCCTTTTCCCACCCTGCATCATCAACCGCATCTGTATTTCCTTCATGGTCTGCCTCGGTGCCCTTCTCTTCTAGGGCTTTCCCAGGAGCTCCCGCCTGAGGTTGGAGGTCCCTGCCTTGCTCAGTGCTCTCTCGGTTCCGTAATGTATTTCCTATATATCTTAAATTAATGTGTTTGCTGAGCCTCTGCCTGGAGTAGTAAGTGTAAGATGTGTAAAATTGCAGAAAATTCAAACGCACCTTCATTTACCTTCTAAGTCTCAGCTAAACACGCAGAGGAAACTGCGATTAGGAGTGTTAATTCATGAAACTGCGGACTGCGTTTCCCTGGTGCAAGTATCAGAATGGATAAATGCTGGATTTCCTTAAAAGCTTGCACGAAAATGTGAAGTACTTTACATGACAGTTGTACTGTACGACAAACTCTTCCCGCATGGTATTTCTAAGAATGGGCAGACAGAAAGCATAGCTCCTTGACAAACTTCACCAGCACCGGATAATATCACGGCACCGTCAACTTACCTTTGTCTTTTTGTCATCGTTTCCAGTCCCGTCTTTGCTTTTACTGACCATGCGAGCTGATAAAGCAGAAAGTGAGAATGTAAGTTACACTCGTTTTTACAGATCATGGACAGAATCAGCTGTAGCCAGGTTGGATTTCTGCGGGAAATCCACAGAAATTGGTTTGTTCCATTGGGTCTGGGGAAAACCCAGTTGACATTCTTTCCCCTTCGATCTTCCGAGTCTCCCATTGTTAGTATCAACACAACACACTGGGGTCATGGCTCAGAACAATCTGGCAAGAGGGAGCGGCAGGCTGGCAGAGGGAGGGGACATGCAGAGGGATAACATGGACACAAGAGCTGTCTAGGGAGGTAGAGAGCAGGCTCCCACTAAGAGGCTCTCTCCCTGCCTCTGCCAGGGTCAGCCTCACCCAGGTGAGGCTAACCCCACCCCATGGAGGAGCATGAATGGGAGCAGCTCAGCCAGGCTCAGGCCCCTGCAATATCCTGGGATCAGAGTGGTAAGCCATCTCCACTCTGTGGCCAGGCTTGGCTTTTGTTTCCTGTGAGGTTCTTGCTTACCCTGTCAGACCTTGGGGACTAACTGGAGCCACCTCTTACTCTCTTGCCCCAGCTGCCAGTTTATCAGTGGTCCTGATGCTCATCTCTCTGGGCTCTTATACTGTAACCTCACACCCCATTTCTGGTTGTTTGCCACCAGAAGAGTTGAGCCTGGCAGGAATGTCTTCACTTCCTTGTTGCCAGTGGCACCCCAAGAATTTTGGTTACTGGCCCCAGCTGCCCTCAGATAACCCATGCCACCCCTGACGTAGCTGTGGTGGACCTTCTCATCACCCTCCTGGCCCTCAAAGGGGACTAAACCTTGTCACTTCCTCAAATTCAGTACAAACTAGTTACTATCCTACATCATCTGGATTTCAGGACCAATCATCAACAGCTTTCGTTTCCACAAAAGGATTGTGAAACCAATCTACTGAACTCATCTACTGACATTACCTCTAACTCATCTTCTTTGGTCTATTCACATTGATCATCAAAATTGATTATAGATTTTCTTCTTTGGTTTTAATATCATAGTCCTCCTGCTCCAAGAACAATACAGCTGCGTGTAGCCTTTCACTAGCTACTGTAGACTGGATTACTAGGGTAACCAGCATGGATTATCTAGCTAGTTTCCCAACTTTACTATATAGCAGAAAGACTTGGAGTGGTTGCTAAAATAGATTGCTGGCCCATTCTGAGACTGGTTCTGTGAGCTTAGAGGAGCACCCAGGAACCTGTATTTTAATAAGAGCCCAAATGGATCTGATTCGCACCTTCCTTCCTCTGCCCAAATCAACAGCATCATCCAGTGAAAACAGAAGCATCTGCTGAA